TTCACCCAAACTGAGATATGCCTCTCGGCATTGCACGTTCACAAATCAAAGATACCGTCAGCCACTCATCGTCATACGGGTTAAATACAATACTAATAATAAAAGGTATAAATCAAAAAGAGTAAAACACATTAATTAAGTACAATGATTATAAAGTCTAAATACAATGGTTATGAAGTCACAAATATCAACGGTTATGAATAAAAAAAAACAAGGGAAAGGCTACCAATCGACTCGCTTTTCTCAAACAGGTTCGCTGAGGGTAACCCTTCGCTGCACTGTCTCTGTTACTAAGGTTACAAACTCTATATCAAAAGGTCAAAAAAACTAAGGCATGGCGGTGTAACCAAGCGATCAGCCAATCGCTGCAGTCGACAGCATGATCACGTGATTACCAGGGATGCGTCTCTCGGTTAAAGCATTGCAAAGCGGTAACTAATAAAGAATGAATGAAAAGCTATTAATCAAACTCCTGTCACATACGCTTATAAACTTCAACTGAACTTACAAGTCGTTAATTTAAACAAAAGTCATACGGCGTGGAAACAGAATGCAAAGACAAATTCGCTTTCATAACACATTACTTCTCTGGCACTAAAGACGGGGAAAAGTAAAACGATATACACTACTGAGTTACATATAATCCTGACAATCATGAACAAAAGCTTGCGATATCAAACAATACGTATATAAGCGCACCAAACTCTCATCTCAAAAAGACATTAAAAAACGTTACAAAGGCGCTCTCAACTCAAAAAGCATCAGAAGTATTCCGGAAACAACACATAAACAAAAACAACTCTTAAAACGTCGATATCTCTGTACTCGACAAATCTCAAAACTCTGAAAAACTCATTAGGGCATTACTTTCCCCATCATAATACGTACTCATAAACTCATAAAAACTCCATGAAACTTCACAAAACTCCAAATCACTGTGTTGCAAATACTTGTCCACTGAGGCGCGCTTAAATCGTTATAAAGGACCTCGCACGTCACTAAATATCAGTTCAAAACAAAGATCTGGGCGCTTACATACATACAATTCAACATCACAAAAAAACGGTAAGAAAACAGATAGAAAAGCAAGCAATACATTACATTACTGAGCAATAGTGTTAGGGTTCTGGAAAAGAGTTCAACGTCTTGAGTTACACAGTGTCAGTTACAGTGTCCAGCGAGCGGTTCTCTAAGCAATACACAGATAGCTAAAGTCAAAGTCTATAAGCGTCTCTTCTCTTGTCGCGTTATTCTGGGTCGTTCTTTCATCTTCTTCTTGTCTTTAATGTCGCTCAATTCTTAATTATACAGTCCTATCCATTACTCATCCTTCATAAGGGGTTCAGAGGTCTTCATCTCTTCAGCGTTGTACATCAGTGCCGTTCGGGTAAAGCCGTTAGTCGTCAAGCGCAGTTTCGTCTCTGCCATCGAGCCAGTTAGTTCGGTTCACAAGAAAGACACATCTTCGCCATTTCACTTCTCTTCACAGGATGTCAATGTGTGTTAAACACCTGCCCGGGTTCT